AATAGCATATGTATAGAAATAAACATATCAAACCAAACATTTATATAAACATATCAAACCAAACATTTATATCCAATGACACACATATGTACCCATGTATACTGACATCAATATGCAGTATTGCTTATGCTGCGTATATAAATTATTTTGACAAGAATGAATCGTGGTCATAGCAAAATTTGTAAAACTGAGGATCAATTAGTTTAATACTATTGTCAACCTAATTTGAGCCAAGGTTTTTTGAGGGAGTGTTTTTTAATTTTTTTACCAAATGTGTACAATGTCTTAATAAATGTTTATTGTTTATACAAACTTAAAAAGAACTTTCAACTTTTTTTCTCCATTTTTCTTTCATTTTGAAACACTTCATAACCTTCATTGTTTATTTGTTCAAGTTTCTTGTTACTCAACAAATGTTTGTTTTATTTATAGCTGCAAAAATATTGAATAAACATTTATAAGAACTGGGCAGTAATTAGCTTGAACAAGGTACATGTATTGAATTATATTAGTTACTGTATGTTACCAGTAATAAGCCCATGTCCAGTTATAAGCCCCCCGCCCCCTCTTTCTTGACTGTTTTAGTACTGAATAGCTAGTTTATTCATCTCACAATATATAAGAGATCAATAAAAATCACAAATTAGATATTAAAGGGACAGTTTCTTGAAATGAAAAATGAAAAATTCATCAACAGTATACAGCAGCACTACATATTAATGATGGCACTTAAATAAAAACTTCCATTGCACATACCCATAAATCACTTTTACACAAGTGCTGCACTAAACTTTAATAGCAGTACAATTCCATTGCACATACCTATATATCACTTTTACACAATTTCTGCCCTAGGCTTCAACACGTAATACAGTAAAACCTTGATATAATGCACCTGGTTTAATTAGTTCACATTTTTTTGCCAAAGATACTTTTTTTCCATTTTTCATTATGATTCCTTCATACACTCCCTCAGTACTTCGCCAAACTCAATTAATAACAATTGTTTTTCTTTAGAAAAGTTGGCAATGTCTGTATCAATATATGAAAAGGTGGCACATTCCAGGGTATAACAAGGTTTTACTATAAAATGAAAACATTTTCACTGATGAATGATCTAAACCATGATTTTTGAACTTCAACATCTGATAATGAGCTTGCCCATTGGGTGGAAATAATGGAAGTACATCAGGAAACTTTCACCTAGTCAAATATATTTGCCCTTTACTTGTAATACCTGTATTTGCCCTCATTACGGAGAGTGGAAAGGGCAAAAGTTCAACAAAAAGAAACAATTTCCTAACTTTTTCAAGGTTTATCATATCAAATACACTTAAGCTATAAAAATTTTATAAAATTATTTAAAAGAAGATTGTCAAATTGCATTATTTTGATTTCTTGTCTTTGAAATCAATTGAATTTTTTTTAAAGAGTTTACATGATAACTACCAAAAAATAAAAGTTTATATTAAATTATACACAAGCATTTAATAAAAATCTATAAAGCTGCTACCAATATTAACAGAAATGATAAACAAATAATCATTCATCACACAAATAATCTGAAATATACATAAACTGTCAACATATATCTAAACATATATCTTGCGACATCTGCTAGGAAAGACTACTTAAGATTATTGAGTTAGAGAAAGCAGCTTCCATGTAAAACAAAATAAAGTTATCATATTGTGCCAATATATACATAGATATTTCTCTAAACAAGAGTCCCAGAGGGCCTGTATTGCTCACCTGGATAATAAAGCAACCATTTTTTATTACATAAAATTCCTCCAATGGTACAGAAGAAGAAAGATTTTAAAGATTTAAACCTCTAATTTCCCTATTGGGCCCCACAACTTTCAGCCCCCAGGGGGTCCAAACCAACTGTTTATAGAAAATTAAGTCCCCTTGGCCAAAGGATGCTCCAGACCAGATTATGATAAAATCCTTTATCCCTACGGTAGAAGAAGGATTTTAAAGCTTTTACCTCTATTTCCCCAATTCGGCCCTGCAACTCTGCCCCCAGGGGGGCCAAACCCGCCACTTAAACAAAATTGAATCCACTTGGTCTAAGAATGCTCCAGACCAAATTAGGATAAAATCCCTTAATCCCTACGGTAGAAGAAGGATGCCCCACCTCTATGCCCCCAATGGGGCCATACCCACCGTTTATACAAAATTAAGTCCCCTTGGCCCAAGGATGCTCCAGACCAAATTCGGATGAAATCCCTTAATTCCTATAGTAGAAGAAGGATTTTAATGGTTTTACCTCTATTTCCCCTATTCGGCCCCACCCCTCTGCTCCAAGGGGGGTCACACCCTCCATTTATACACAATTGAGTCCCCTTGGCTCAAGGATGCTTCAAACAAAATTGGGATGAAATCCCTTAATCCCTACAGTAGAAGAAGGATTTTAAAGGTTTACCTCTATTTCCTCTAAACGGACCCACCCCTCTGCCCGTAGGAGGGCCACATTCACCGTTTATACAACATTGAGTCCCCTTGGCCCAAGAATGCTTCAGATTAAATTAGGATAAAATCCCTTAATCATNATACACAATTGAGTCCCCTTGGCTCAAGGATGCTTCAAACAAAATTGGGATGAAATCCCTTAATCCCTACAGTAGAAGAAGGATTTTAAAGGTTTACCTCTATTTCCACTAAACGGACCCACCCCTCTGCCCGTAGGAGGGCCACATTCACCATTTATACAACATTGAGTCCCCTTGGCCCAAGAATGCTTCAGATTAAATTAGGATAAAAACCCTTAATCATTACAGAAGAAGAAGGATTTTAAAGGTTTTATCTCTATTTCCCCTATTCGGCCCCACCCCGCCACATCCACCATTTATACAAAATTGAGTCCCCTTGGCCTAAGGATGCTCCAGACCAAATTTAGTCCAAATACACTGGGCTGTTCAGGACAAGTAGTACTTTAAAGGAAAAGTTGACGGACAGACGACGAACGCTGCGTCATTTAATAAATAGCTGCCAATTAAAGGATTAAAGTTCATTTCAAAAAATATATATACAACATTTGTATAGCGCTCTACATAATTTGGAAAATTAAGGCACTTTTCAGCATATGAGTAATAGCGTTTGATAGTGGAGCCTTGTTAATCTACCCAACTTCATTCCCAAACATATAGTGTCTGCAGTAATGGGAAAATGTGGATACCAAAGGGAAGTTTGATATTTTCCCATCATTTCTCCTCTCTTATTTGTTGAATTAATAGTCTTGTCAACAGTAATTGCATCTTTTGGTATAAAACTTTGATTATAATTTCATACTGCTGGGCTTTCAAAATGAGGTCATTGTTTACTTCATGAGAAGTAATGATAACAAACTTGAAATGTCAAAATCACAGATGGCTGCCTGGCAGCCATCTCTGGTGTGTTTTTTTTTTACCAGTCTCAAAATGAAATGCGCACAAATATGAACTAAGGGGAACCTACATCTTAAACTTGAGGAAGATATTTCAAACACTTCTTGAGGAATATCAATAACAATTTGAACTGTTTCAATGTCCAAGATGGCTGTCTCACAACCATCTTGATTTTCCAATCAGTCTTAAAATGAAAGATGTACAACTGGACAATGGGAAAGCTTTTTGTTTAAAATCTAATAATCTTTCCTTGTTTTAGGATGGATGGACAATGTTCCATGGAAATGTACCAAGGACAAAGGGCAATTTGATCAGCACCACTATCTGGTGACTGTTGACTTAAAATGGAAACGGGTTCTCAAAACACTGACTGGGCAGTTGGACAACCCAATCTGTGGTGACTAGACTAACAAGGCTCAAATCTATTCACACCTAAGGGAATATGCTCCAATCAACAATTACTATACATTATGCTATTTACATAACTTTATACACATTATATTAAAACATCTTCAAATCACTAACAAAGCAAATGTCCCTGTATCAGTAATATCACAGCCAGTAATCATGGGACAATATAATGAGAATAAAACCAACGTAAATTTGATGCAAAACCAGTGAGATTTGGCAAATAAAATGGTTTATATGTATCAACATATGTAAACAGCTTTTCCATAATTAACCATATGTGCCAGGTGGGAGGCACTTTCTTAGAGGTTGCACCAACAATCGAATATCAAGCTGAATTAAAATTTAAAAAAAGGCATGGAGATTCGGGTTAAACACAACTTCTCCCATACAAAGGTTGACTGGAAAGCTATGCACTAGGAGTCACTGGATCATTGATTTATGGCACATTAAGTAAATTATCATTTTACAACCTTGTAATTGTTTTAAATTTGATTATTTGAAAATACAGAGAAAACAAAAAAATATGAGAGTCGAATTTTGGAACTTTACAGTGCAAAGCATTCACTTTATCAATGTTAATTACCAATGTATGCAGAGACATTTTAAGAAAAAAGGGTATCAACAAGTTAAACTATATTATTGCCGTTGTTACTTGTTTAAGTTTACTTCCTAAGAAATATTCCATAAAAATCACATTTTGTCATTCATTTTACAAAATAGTAGTACATTCTGTAGTTTGAAATTTGAATGTTTGAATATAGAACTAAGAAAACAAGAAAAATGCATTGAAATAATTTTTGTAATTCATGGGTTGCAAAACACATGAATAACTTGACAGGGGAAGTTACTCTAAATCAGAAAAACTCCTTTTGGTTGCTTCATCTTCTTTATAGAAGGGAGATTACTCCAAGTAAGAAATAAAACTCTGAGTGGAACTCTTCTCTGTGATTATAACTTAAGCAGTGGTACCCTTTTCATTAAATCATTTTTGTATGGCATATATCAGTGTTTTTTAATTGGAGTATATGAATGTTAAGTTTAGAAAGAAAGAAAAAATGTCTTTTTTTGGGGGTTAATAGGTCATAATATCAATAAATCTCACTTCACTGAAGTCCTCACCATAACAAGAACAGCTGTTTAAAGCATATGTAAATGACCCATTATGGTTTGCAGATTAAAAGACATGTTTAGTTAACTTTATCAATTTGATCTGAACTTGTTTTCTTCCTTTTCCTGTAGCTTTCGTTCAAGAACACTTATTCTTGTATTCTTTTCCTTCATATCCACTTCCAGTCTCACCCGTTTCCATTTCTCTGCTTCCTTTTCCCTTTTCTCTGCTTCTTTTTCCATCTCCAGTCTCACCCTTTTTCTTTTCTCTGCTTCCTTTTCCCTTTTCTCTGCTTCTTTTTCCATCTCCAGTCTCACCCTTTTTCTTTTCTCTGCTTCCTTTTCCCTTTTCTCTGCTTCTTTTTCCATCTCCAGTCTCACCCTTTTTCTTTTCTCTGCTTCCTTTTCCCTTTTCTCTGCTTCTTTTTCCATCTCCAGTCTCACCCTTTTTCTTTTCTCTGCTTCCTTTTCCCTTTTCTCTGCTTCTTTTTCCATCTCCAGTCTCACCCTTTTTCTTTTCTCTGCTTCCTTTTCCCTTTTCTCTGCTTCTTTTTCCATCTCCAGTGTCACCCTTTTCCTTTTCTCTGCTTCCTTTTCCTCCTGCAATTTCACTGAAATTGGAACAATTTTCAAAAGGTTACAAATATTTTTGAGTAACTGTACATATTATTTAGTAACTGATAAAAATGTTTTTATATATGGGTGGCAGCTCATCTACATGTGCCCAGAGCTTCAACAGTTTTCATACGCTTTCCCTTCCCACCATAAGTTTAGCCATTACAATTCTTATCTTTACACCTGAATATCTTTATATGAACTTCAGCAATGTTAAACTGACATCATTTGGAAATAATTTAAAACATGAAATATGTGTGAAAGATTCATTCTTGAAATTAATTAAACTTATAAAAATTCTTGGATTTATATTAATAAGAATTTTAGAAAACTGAGGTTCAAGTGAAATAAAAATACCATTTAGAAAATAACAATGTAATGACTGTAAAACAGAAAATGTTCGCCCTGTTTAGTTCTTCAACAAGAGTGTAAACTCCAGACAGGGAATATTTTTTCCATAAAATACCTCAGAAAATTAAGAGGGCAATAATATTTTGAAAGG